AGAAAAAAACAAGGAAAGTTGAATCCTCCTTGTGAAAGAAGCAAAAACATGAAGAAGCAAAACAAAATTGTGACAGGCAATGGCAGAAAACCTGACTGCCACTTGGAAAGAGAGGGGTGAGGGAGGGATATTCAGTTGTTTGCAATCTGCAACCCCACCACCACTAAATCTTATACACTGCTCCTTTAAACTATAATCTGCAAATGTGTTTATGCAGCATAGTTAGTTAGTCCTGAAAAGGTTTCAAAGGCGTAAGCTACTGACTTTATATTCACTCTGCATATGAAAACAAATAAGGTATATGACGTGTGTGTGTGTGTGTGTGTGTGTGTGTGTGTGTGTGTGTGTGTGTGTGTGTAGTGCCATTGCCTTATCCTGGAGAGCTGCAGGAAGCGCAAGTGCCCATCGTTGATAGAAAGCTGTGTGCTAAACAACTGGGACCTGAAACTGTGACCAATAACATGATCTGTGCTGGATTAAGACAAGGAGGCAAAGACACCTGCCAGGTACACACACACACACGCACAGACACACTCAAATACAATATGAAGTGTGTTTACAACCTTTGTTAGTCCTCCAGTGGGCACTGCCTTTTACTTGGAGGTACACACTGTGTTTCTTTAAGGCTGCTGGCTGCCCTTTTCCCTGTCACAACGCAAAAACAGTGTAGCCTAACTGCCAGTTAGCTGTGTTTTAGTATCCTGCAAGCTGATTATCATTTTGAAATGTTATAATAATTTGGATTTGTGAAGTTAAAGAGCAAAACTTACAAAAAACATCCTGTGCACACCAAGCAGCCATGTAGTGTGCATAAAACATGTAACAACACTGCACAAAAACAACAAGCAAGGTGTGTCTCTCCCACTATTGACAAGTGTAAGAATTGTTTTTTTTTTTTCAAAAACAAAATCCTTGTTCATTTTCTTGTGCTGATAGGGGTTGCTGTCATGTTGCTGGGCAAACTATATAAATTTCTTGTAGATTTTTGTCAAACTTATCCTTTAAGAGGCTCACAAATTTGGCAGAAGGATCATTGAAATGGGTTATATGAAAAAATAAAGTAGCAGGAGATCTCTCTCTGACTCTCTCACTCACTCTTCCTCTTTCTCGATCGCTGCAGGGGGACTCTGGAGGCCCCATGGTGAATAAGAAGGGTACAGTCTGGATTCAGTCTGGTATCACTAGCTTTGGTTACGGCTGTGCTCAGCCCAACTCGCCTGGCGTCTACACTCTGGTGTCTCAGTACCAAGGCTGGATTTCCAACACTGTCAAACAGAACCTGCCTGGATTCATCAAGTTTACGCCTGCACGTTAAAACACGGTAAGACATTTACACACACTTCAACATGTACAGGACTGTCGATAAGTCCGATACCATCTTTCATTTATTTCATTTCCAGTCAAAATTGTCATTTATTCTGAACAATGGACTGACCACCCCACAGTCCAGTTATCAACATCACTGAATGTGTTTGGGATTACTCTGAAAACACAGCCAACATCTAAGACTAACTTTGGAGGAGTGAAAAAACATCCCTGCCAAGTCCTATGAAGAAATGAAAGCAAGCAAAGGATGCAAGCTATAATAAAGGCAAAGGGTGGACACAATAAATGCTGAAAAAAATATATATTTAGGCTTCTGTGTAATTTTCTGTTAAATATATGTTTTTACTTTTTCCCTAAAGATGGAAAAGGAATAACGTCTACTGAATGGCTGTTTAGACTGGAAATTAACTAAATGAATGTCTTAGACTTTTTACAGTACTATACTGTATTATAAATCTATTCTAACCAACTCTGAAACCAACCAACTCTTTTTTGCGGTGGAATTAATGAGGTGTGAGAAGGTAGAGCAGTGGCTGGTTAGATGATATGTGAGGAGCAGGTCCAGAAACTAGCTGAAAGTTTAGATCTTTGCAAGGTGATCATTTGGGAGTTTACCATCAAAGCAGGTGTTTTCTTTCTTTCTATCTGTTTATAATGTCTGCTTATGTCTTGGCAGGTGCTAACACTGCAGTGGGGGAGACTGGTGCTGAGCTAATGCTTTGGTCAGCCCAAAAAACACTTTTTATATTATATTTATAGGTACAGAATGACACTACCTTCAATTGCAATGAAGGTCTGAGAATATATTTTTCAGGAAAATTACTGTGATATACATTATTGTATTGAAACTGTGTTGTAATATCGATGTGTAATGTGAGAACTGTGTGATAGACAGCATGCTACTCCATGTAATTTTGTTTTGGACCACCACTATAATTAAACACTATAGACCTGCAGGAGCTTCTTTGTTTCTGAGTCATCATCATTTCAGGCATGTGTGGCCTCACAAAACCTAATATTAATCTCTCTTTTACAATTTGCAGAGGTGGAAAAAGCTCAGAGAAATTATGTTTAAAGGCAAATTACACACTTTATAAATTTCTGCATAATTCAGTCATTAAAATGCCATTATAAGGAACATTGCTGAGCGAGAATTGCTTGCAGCTGTGGTGATAAGAACCTTGACAGATATGTTGCCTGGTGCCTGAGACTTTGTTTTACAATAGTTTTGAGATGAGGTTTTGGCCCAAAATGTATTTTCTAAATATTTTAGGCAAAATAAAATTTTTGGATTTAACAGAATTTTACCATTATCAACTCAGAAGACACATGTTTGCTGGTCATTTTGGAGAGTAAATAAAATCTTTGTGTTGTGGACAAGTTGCGACTCCTGGTTACTGTAAAGACACTGAGTGGGTATATTTCTCTACAGTGAACCATTTCACTTCAAACCACTGTAAATGACTTTGTTTGTATCCTAATGACTGAATTTTACAGCATTTTTTTTTAAATTGTTGGAATTTCTCTTTAATTCAAAATACAGGCACATCATCAAAATCTTTATTGAAAATGTAAGTATGGAGCGAAACTGTACTTGAGTGAAAGTCAAAAAGTATCTACAGTTAAAAGTAAAAAGTAAAAGTTTATTTTATTTTTTTAAAAAAGGTTTTTTTAAAGTACCTTTAATGCTGTGCACAATCATACATTACATCACCCAGACTTAAATTTATCTTGTCTTAACCCTGGGGTCAGCAATATGCGTCTCTTCTACTGCCCTGTTGTGGCTTCACAGCAGAATTAGTAGAATTTTAGGTAAAAATAATCGTCCTTTGCAACAAAATAAATCTCTGCTGATCTTTATAACCAAGTTTTAACAATAAATGGTTTTAAATGCTGGAGTTAATGTATAACTGCTAATTTACCAACTTTTAACCCTGAGGATCGGCACGCAGACACAACAATCTTGCCCAGCTAGTAGCTAGCGAAAAGGCAAAGAGAAAGATTTAAGATGAACATTGATAATTTGGTGACGAACAGACTTAATTCCATTTATAAGCACTCAGCTGATTTCCTGATAAGTTTAATCTGCAAAAGTCTGCGTTTTCGTTTATGTTTTTAGCCTGTACTAGTACGTTAGCACATACTGAGACATATTTACAGCCAAGATGGTAAAATGGACATAAAATGTTGTGGCTCCCAAGGTGGATTATTTTTTGTTGAAAGGACAAAATGGCTCTTCTTAACATTTGGGTTGCTGACCCCTGTCTTAACTTTAGATATTAGGTCTCTAATGACAAAGACTTCATATCTTAATATTTCCAGTATATTGTGTGTGGTGTGGGGATTAATGGGTGGTGCCAATTAATTAACCTAGTTTCAGGCAGTATTATTTTACACTTTGATTTTGGGGAAAAAGGAAAAGCACAGCAACTGAACCAGCAAGAGGAATGAGGGAAAAAATCTCCTGACCTCTGAAATTTATAACAAGTACTTTGCTGGTGTAAATGAATTTGTAAGCAGTAAAAGTATGTTTTGTCTCTTTGAAATGTAATTGAGCACAAGAATTGCATTTCACAAATGAGTAAAGTACACCAATCTTATAAAACATGAGCACAGTAATAAAGTACAGTACACTCAAGTGTTTTCCATCTCTTAGACTTTTCCCTTAAAGAAGACAAAGCTAGAGGGTAGATTGCTGTTTGCTCTTCTCGCTGAAGTGATCACATTAAAGTTGCACTGAAAGGTGAAGTGTTATTGAGTGCTGGACTGTATCAGACACACCAGCAGGTGGTGATGAGAGCACAAGAGAGCAGTTCATACTCTTGCATTTCTTCAGCCGCTGCTACTTCACAAATATAATTTTTTATTTACTCCCACTGCAAACTGCAAATTGATTCATTTGAAGCTGATAATGATACACTAATGTGGCTGTGCATTCTACATAAGTCACGTTTAGATACAAATAAAGTCATAGAGCGAGAAGTGACTGTTTCTTGGTGGTGCTTCTCAGCTGTGGATGGGTGGATAAACTGAGCAGGGAAAATGGTTAACCTCCATTATTTATACATGCTATAACTCCTTAATTACACAAGAGCCACCAGCAAGTCCAGGCTCTCACTCCTCACTCCTACAACTGATGATGTGTGCTTTGTTCGAGTTAATCAATGTAATTACTGAATGATAAGCCACATAATATAATAAGCCTGAAGATCATGTTAAAGGGTTAATAGAAGGTTGGAAAGGTTGGAAACATCCACTCCCACAAGTTCCTCCTAGAAAAACCTGTATTTAGATGAATTAGTGAAGTATTGTCTGGGTTAGCATGAACATATAAAAGAGCAGTGAATGAGAGGCACTTTGTTACACACACACACACACAAACACACACAAACAGTTTCTGCTTGTTTGCCCGATCAAGCACACACACATTGAAAAGCAGCAATTGATCCAGAACGCCCCACTCTCTCTTGTTTTTCTCTCCTCGCTCTTTCTATCTCTATCCCTCTCTCCCATTTCTCTCTTCTCTCTCTCCCATTTCTCTCTTCTCTCTCTCTCTCTCTCTCTCTCTCTCTCTCTCTCCCCTCTGCTCCCTCATCCTACAGTTGTTGTCCTATATTGGGTTGCTGTTCCAAGGAAACAGAATTAGTGCATGGCATCTCGCACATTTATCCTGAGAGAGAAAGAGAGAGAGAGAGAGAGAGAGAGAGAGAGAGAAATGTTTGCTGATTGTCTGTTCTTGAGTTGAACTGTATTGTTAGAAATACCACTGGATTTTCCTAGCTGTGTGATGTGGATGTGCAGTGTAGTGATGCAGTGCCTCCTCTCTCTGCTGTCGGAGAACTCCCTGGCTCCATAACACATAATCCTAAACTAAAGAGAAGTAGTGCCGTGAAGAAGTGAGTCTGAACAGAAGAAGGGAAGAGGTGAAGAGGTTCCCAACTTCAGGTACCCACATTCCTCTCTAATGCATTTGCTTGGTTTTCTTTTTAGCATATGGGGGTGGGGGGCTGGGGGTTCAGCACAGTTTGGTGATTTTCCTGCTAAAACACACCTCATCAACTCATCAGTGAAATATCAGATTTCACTGGTGTTCAAACATCAAAATCACCACAATGTGCTGAACACCCACCTTTCTTTACCTTGCCCCTCACTACATAATATTGACTTAACCATGCGGATGTCATATGCTGCCATGAGTTATTCTGACAGATTTCGTTCAGTATATCTAATATAACAGTGTCCTGTTACCATTACTGGAAATTGTCATGGCAGTTGTCATAACATTTGATGTCATGGCAGCTTACATCACATGATGGTTTTTGCTGTGTACTGTAGTTAGCTGTCATGACATTATGACATTTGTCATGACAACCACCGGTAATGGTAACAGGACACTGTTATAAATACTAATCAAAAGCTGGGGTAACACTGTGGTGCAGTGGGTAGCGCTATTGCCTCACAGCAAGAAGGGCCTGGTTTGATTCTCCTGCTGGGTGGCCAGGGTCCTTTCTGTGTGGAGTTTGCATGTTCTTCCAGTGTCTGTGTGGTTTCTTCTGGGTGCTCCAGTTTCCTCCTGCAATCAGGCAATTGGAGACACTAAATTGCCCCTAGGTGTGTGTGAATGTGTACGTCTGCTCTGAGTTGAACTGGTATCCTGCCCGATGAGCGCTGGGATAGGCTCCTGCGACCCAGGAGGATAAGCGGCTTAGAAGATGAATGAATGAACAAAATCATGACAATTCATGGTAGCAAAACATATTTATGGCATGGTTAAGTCAACAGTATGTAGCACCGTTCAAGTAAAGTGTTACCAGATTTCCACAGTATACTTATTAAATTACAGATGGAAGACAAAGCGGCATTTCCAAACAACGTAAACTTTATCACTAAGTGTTATCAGCCAAAAATTCAATCTAAAATATTCAATATGTATACTAATGAAATCAATTGTTTAAAATTGTAATATTCGTAACTCATTTATTTGTTTTATATCTATAATATAATAATTTGTTCTTTCTTTTGTTTATTTGCTCACACAGTTACTAATACAGCACTGGCAGTACTGATCTTGAGGCAAAATGTAACATGCAATGATTTGTACTTACTCAAATAATCAGAATCTGATGTGATGAGTTTGATGCACACTGACCTTTCCAACATGTCTCAGAGTGTGGCATGGCCTGAGTTGGCAACTTCAGTCCAGCTCTCACATTAACACGTCCTCTGAGCTCATCATGCTAACATTTCTCATTAGGGTGGATGAAAGCTGAGCCTGGATCAAATCTTAAGAGTGGGGAGGGGGGCTGCCCTGAGGACCTGTAACTCAATAAAAATACTTAGAGAGAAGTACAGTATATAAATAGAGATCATCTCATTCTGAAATGTTCTGTATGAAAGGGTCAGGAAGTGCAGGACTCTGAAGTGTCTGGGTGGCCATGAATACAGTGGTACGTGTGGTGTTTGCTAAAGAAGTTTTGAAAGTTGTGGTTACTGCTGTGGGATTATGTGAAGATAGTGGTTTCATATAAACTAGCTATTCACCACCCATTACAGTACATTACAGACACTGTCATCAGAGATCTGTGTATTATTGTGTTTATGACTGTACATAAACACATTCACAGCTGTCACATGAAGTCTTAATTTACTGTCTGATGAGCACAGGAAGCTTTAATGACAGAGATAAAATGAATGTTTAACTCAGAGTTTGAATTATAATGAATAGTTATGTAATGAAGTTGAGGCAGTAGGATGTGCGTCTCAAGCAGCTTTAGTAGAGCTTTTCCAGACACTGCAGTTCAGACAGGCAGAAGGAGTTAAAACCTTAAGGCTGATACAGTTAACCAAGGTGAATACACACATGTGGACAAAACCTTTGGGACACCCCTCCTAATTATTGAGTTCAGGTGTTTTAGCCACACCCATTGCTGACAGTTGGATAAAATTAAGCACAGAACCTTGCAATGTCCATAGACAAACAATGGCAATAGAATGGGCCACACTGATGAGCTCAGTGACTTTAAACATGGCACTGTCATACGATGCCACCTCTGCCACAAGACAGTTTGTGAAATGTCTGCCCTGCTAGATCTGCCACTGTCAACTGTAAGTGCTATTATTGTCAAATGGAAGCACCTAAGAGCAACAGCAGCTTAGCTATGAAGCGCTAGACCA